GCTTGCTCTGGTAAACATTGCCATTAGAAGGAACGACGAGCAGCAGCAGCGCAACAGTGGACATGATCAAGTTTTGCTTAAGGAAAACCATCCGGGGCGAATCTTAGCTGGTTCTAAAAAAGCGAAGCAAATTGGAAACTAATTCAGCTATTAACGCGTTGGGAGCGGCGGGTGTCGAACAGCAAATGGGCGATCTACGCAGCTGGGTTTGAGCACCGTATAAAGATCAACGTCGCTTGAAAGTATTAGTATGTGGAGCAAATCGTCGGGAGTGTGGCTGACAGCTCCTTCTGCGTTATTGTCGTGCGTGCCTCCAAACCCACAGCACGCTATCATACACAGACTCGCAAGTATCCGTCGTTTTTTATTATTATTGTATGGGAGACGTCTCAACGTTCGATGCAATTCGCCGGCCTTGTCAGACTCGGATCTACTGTTGTCACAGTGTACCGCGTGGTCCAGCCTAAGCGCTAATTGCAATAGTGTAAAGTACTGAATACCGCATGCAGCAGCACTCTGTTTAGCCAATCACAGCTTGTATCTGTAGAGCAACAACCGCACTCCAAACCGTTTACTCTGCCAACTTAAACCGTAATTCGATGTTTCTATTATAACCCTTTCGCGAGGAGCACATATAAGCCCATTTTTTCTATACTATACAGGTCAAGTCAATAAGAGCTAAAAGGGCGCAAAATTCGCCCTTTAAGGTATTGGTAAAGACGGGGATGGTGTACAAATCAAGCTTGATGCAGTTTGATGTGGTGTATTTTGCCCTAAAAAGGGCGAATTTTGCGCCCTTTAAAGGGGTTAAGGTAGCATTATGATTGGCTAATAAGTGAACACTCAGACAACTCGAGGTCGATTCTATTATGATTGGTCAAAACAATTCGGTACAGCGTACCACCGCTGAAATATAACGGCGAAACTTACGAAGACATTCGCGCTACTGACCGTTTTCTGGATGATGACTTGTCGAAGGATGATGCCCACGCTGCTGCAGCTTCCGAAGTTCGCGCCATTATGTAGTATTGTGGTGTTGACCGGCGAGATCATGCCGCTGGTTTCCCGCGATAACATGTAAGCCGCTATACGTTTGTGGGTGCTTTTGGAGGTGCTGTTTCAAGCGTCACCTTTAGTTTTGAGGCTATAGGTGCTCAAGGCTCCGATTTGAGCGTGTAGAACACTAGGTTGCATATGTGTCTATTCCAGTATGGCCGGCGATGGTGTAACTACAGCGCAGTGCAGTGGTGCATAAATCTTATGCTTTGTATTAGAATGTGGCATTTTGTATACTAGAATTGCCGCGCAAACTTGGCGCCCAAATTATGGAGCTACCCCAAAAATTTATTGTTTCTTTGTTTGAATGTATTTAAAAAACAAGTCGTGATGGAATATATGTATTTATGTACCCTTATACTCTCCACGAATAGGCGACGCGTATCAGCCGTCCATCCGTCCCCGCCCTCATTTGTAAATCAAGCAGAAAATGTCGGAAGTGCCGCGTGGCCAGAAGCGCAGGCATGAAGGCACTGATATGGCAAGGAAGCGGCGACGCGTGCGTACCGGTAGCGCGGAGGCACCTGATGAGACAGCGAGCAGCCTCGGGGGCGTTGCTGTGTTCAACAGCGAGTAACGAGTGTTGGCAAAGGCCGGGTGGACGTCCAAGCAGCCTTCTACCAAGTCTTTAGACACACGCTACAAATACATTCGGCCTGGAAGGCGACTTGACGGCGAAGAGGACTGACTACCTACTTGGAGAAATGGCCGTCCTAAGGTACATTGCGAAGACGCGCCTCCTCGAAGTCGGTGCTGAAGAAGGTATTGAAGGCGGAGGCCGAACTGAGGGGTGCTGAAGACGCCGTGGACTAATTGTGTTTTGTTTTGCTTTTGATATAGGCACCCGCGCTGCCAACGACGATGAAAGAGGCGAGTGCGGCGATCTTGGAGCAGGTGCAGCTCCCGGTGAGGCGGCAGCGGTCGGCCATGCCGCCGATATGGGTGCTGGTGTTCCGGCAGCCGGCGCCGGTGCCGCGCGTGGAGCGAGAGGAGGGCGTGGAGCTCGGAGAGGGCGTGGCACCTCACGAGCAGCGAGCGGCGGAAGCGCTGCAGGTGTGGGTTAGGCAGTGACGATGGTGCAGTTCTAGTTACTAACTGTGTGCATTGTTGTTGGTGCAGGTGGAACTTTTGGCGATGCTGCGATGGCTGATGTCTGCCATGCTGGTGCTATGGGTGCTGACGTTCTAGCAGCCGGCGCCGGTGCCGCGCGTGGAGCGAGAGGAGGGCGTGGAGCTCGGAGAGGGCGTGGCACCTCACAAGCAGCTAGCGGCGGAAGCGCTGCAGGTGTGGGTTAGGCAGTGACGGTGGTGCAGTTCTAGTTACTAACTGTGTGCATTGTTGTTGGTGCAGGTGGAACTTTTGGCGATGATGCGATGGCTGATGTCGGCCGTGCCGGTGTCGCGCGTGGAGCGGGAGGAGGGCCTGGAGCTCGGGGAGGGCGTGGAGCTCGGGGAGGGCGTGGAGCCCGCGGCGGTCGTGGAACCCGAGGAGGGGGTGGAACGCGAGGATGGCGCGGAGCTAAAGGAGGGCGTGGAGGCCCTCGAGCCACGAACGCTGCCAGCACTGAAGGTGGCGGCAGTGCAGTTGGTGTTGTCGACTTAGCCGTCAGAGCCGGGCATGTAACGCTAGCAGTGCGAGAAGGACTTGGTGCACAAGGAGGGCATGGGGGCCGAGGAGCTCTTGAAGTTCCGCGAATCACTAGCGGCCCATATCCGAAGTGTGTTTATGAGTTTGGTATTGGTTTTAACCACAACGTAACAATCTGTTTGTTGGTACTGCAGACGCACGAGGCCGTGATGTTGGTGGAACTACGGTGCAGACAGTCAGTACTGGTCGCGAGATCCAAGGCCAAATTGCTGTAGGCCTAGAATCACCACAACCAGGGCGCGCAGCACCAACTGAGACAGCAACTCCTACACGTACGCCTCCCGTCATGCTGCAGGATGTCTACGTGGACAAGCTAGTTGCATTTATGCCCGAAAAAGATCGATGGATGAAAGCAAAGGTCTACAGACCAATTGGCACGGCGTACATTATTGGTCGTGTGTATCGCCTAGTCAAAAAAGGGAAGAACGCTTCGCTGTTCCAGATTCGATGGCTAGACAGTCAGTTCCAGAGCACTGTGGAGCATATCAGCGTTGGGATGGTGCAGGTTGGCATCAAAAAATACACTGTGCTTACACGAGTAAAGAACCCGGATTGGAGAATCCTCGTACGTCCCGATCCCACCGATGAGATCGACTTTGAGGAAAATGATTCAGATTGCGAAGAAGAAGAAGTACTTGAAGCTTTCGATCCGACTGAGTTACTTCCAACCAGCCTCGCTGAAGCTGAAGCAATCCAAAGCATGCGCTTTGTTCCGTCTGGAGAAGTTCAGATGCCTTCGTATCTGTACAAGCACGGTGATGGATCGACACGAAGCTACTTGCGACCTGAGTTTAAACATTTGTTTGAGCATTCTGCCAGTTCCAGCTTCTTTGCCTACATACCGCTTTACTTTTGGCGTCAAGTGCTGCATGAAACTAACAAGTACGCCGTGGTGAACGGCATTGGGCTGGCGAACCAGTTCACACTTGACGAGCTCATGATTTTCCTGGGCATTCTATTCTTCATGGCAACGAACGATAAAGGCGAGTACGCAAATTACTGGGGTCTACAAGCGGAGGTTCTAATTTTTGGTGGTGTTACAACTTCGCTTGATGGCATCATGACGCTGCATCGCTTCAAGCTACTGCGGCGATGTCTGAGCTTCAATGCGGTCCCTAACACACTAGATCAAGATGCTGCAGCTCGCATCCGACCTCTTCTAAACCTGCTAAAGATCACTGGTGGTCAGTATATTCGCGTTGGTCGAGATGTTGCGCTAGATGAAGCAAGTGTTGCGTGTCGTTCGCGTCAAGGTCGCCACATGATCGTGTATAATCCCATGAAGCCTACTGGGAAATATCATTTCCGGCTGTACATGGTGTGCTGCTCTACTACGTGGGTCGCGCTGAATTACAAACTTCACTGCAACCGAAGCGACATCTTGGACAGACTAAATGGTGTAGTTGACCAAGTTGAAGCGCAAAACCTGCGAGAGGAGCTGGAGGAAGTATCTAAAATCAGACAGCATGTGTTGGAGGTAACAAGACCGCTATTCGGAACAAATAGGGTTGTCAACATGGACAACTATTATACGTCCGTGCAGCTTCTCCAGGAGCTCCGACTGAAAGGCCTCTATGGTCGCGGCACTATCCGTGCCAACAGCAAACATTTCCAAGGTCACACTGTTCTTCACAAAGACGACTGTACCCGAGGGGTCTATCGCCAAGCTGTCTCGCACGATCACAGCATGCTTGCAGCGTCATGGTGCGACGGTAACGTGGTCAACCTTGTGTCCAATGCGGACTCAACGAACATTACAACTATCACCCGCATGGTTGGTAACGAGAAGCAGTCGTTTCCAGCTCCAGAGTGCGTCGCTCAGTATAATACCAATATGCAAGGTGTTGATCGCCTTGATCAAATACGCGGGCGATTCTCTACTGCAGATGGTCATTCGTACAAACGCTGGCACAAGAAGTTGGCGCTCGCGCTCATCGATGTGGCGCGCTCCAACGCGTATCTTACGCGACGTTTGGTACAGGCGGAGCCAGCAACGCGTGATCCCCATAGAAAGTTTGTGATGGAGCTAGTTGGTGAGCTTCTCAATGGACAATGGAAGAATGCACCCAGCGACGGTCGCATGCTGTACAGCGGAGAATTGGGTGACGGAGGAGAAGGAGACCAACTCGACACGCCCTCTTCCCAGCCCTCTCCTAGTGTAGTTGCTGTGCTCCCGACAACTGCATGTACTTCCGTGGCTTCGAGGCAAATTCATGCCGAGAAGAGCAGAAAGCGGCGCCGCTGTATTGTTTGCCGATGGGAGGGACGATATCCTACCGAGGTAACCAACTATTGCCTCACGCATGGTGTCTGTTTGTGCCGAGTTGTGCACGACCGCCCCGCCAAGCCATGGATGTGTCCGTCGACGACTTCAACATGCTGGGATTAGTTCCACAAATTCTACTACCCTAACGCATTGTTTACAGATAAGGGAAATGTGAGGCGACACTCCAAACTCGCCAAGTCGAAGGATGCGCACGAGCCCAGGTCTCAAGTAGCAAGGCGGTCCGCTACCGCTCGCCAAATTGCGTACGGGGCAGATCTCGGAGGTGCCCTCGCTCACGCACTTGACAACGAAGGCGATGATGCTACACAGGGTCTTGCTGCTTTCGAGGTTAGCGGTAATACTCCGCCAGGGTTGGTTGCGTTTGGCAGTGGCAATCTTTCGACTGGACTTGTTGCGCCTGGACCAGACGGCGACAGCCGTTTGGATGATAGGCCTAAAAGTGTGCTGGCTAGCAGACTTAGTGGTGCCCGTCCTGATGTTCGCGAAATCGGATGCACTAGTGAACGTGGTGGTGAAGCCCGCCGACGTGGCCGTGGTGCCGTTCTCACAGGCGGCGAAAACACACACGAACTTGATGGCGGCGGCGGAGCTCCCAGACTTGCCATAGACGACGAGCGCGGACTTCGCCGTGACGACGCGCGCAGACTTGGAGACGGGGTGCTCGGACTTGGTGGTGCCGCTGGTGCAGCTGGTGTCGGCGGCGCACGTAGCCTTGGTGACCCTAGCGGAGTCGGTGGCAGGCTAAGTGCTTCTGCTTGCACAGACAGCGAAGATTGGCGCGGGCTTGGTGTTGCAGCACATACAGTTGGTAGCCGTGGCGCTCGCCGACTTGTCAGCGACGACGCGCGAAGACATGGAGGTGGTGATGATCACAGACTTGGTGATGGCACCCGCGGACTTGGCGGTGCGAGTGGTACAGTCAGTGACGGCAACGCTCATGAGCCCGGCAGTGCTCACGGAATCGGTGGTGACTCGCATGACGTATGGGCTACTGCTACACTCGGACGTGATGATACTACACCTAGCCAGGTTGCTGCTGCCGCACGCAGACTGGGTGGCGAAGCTGCATTTGCTCTTGGTGGCGGCACTCATGAGCATCGAAAAGACTCTGCTTAGAAGCAAGTATGAGATAGCAGAATGGATCAAAGTTTCTTACGGTATAAGTAAATGGGATGAGGTGTAGCCTTCCAGCTACATTGTACTTCTAGTTGATGATCCAGTTTCCAACTCTTGCAGTACGGCTCCGAGCACGATGATCGATGTCTAGGGCAGAAGAGCGACATTGAAACTATCACCCATGCCTCTGGCATTGCGCTTAGCTCTGCGTGAAACAATCAGGCTTAGACATCTTTTTCAAATAGAAAGATGTTAGCAAAGACAATGGTGGCTTTGCAAATGGGAGAATGCCGTGACATCGAAACATCTCTTACATCGACTTGCTTGAGCAGCACCTTACTGAGCCGTGGGTACTGCTTGCGTAGCTGCTGCATGCAACGCCGTCCAAGGGAGACGAGGTCCCTTCGCACCTCGATCCCGATGCACGTTCTGACTTTCTTTGTAAGTGCTACCTGTGCAAGCACGTTGCCAACACCAGCTCCAACGTCAAGGAAGACGTCAGCTTCGCCGAGCGGTCCGACGGCAGCAAGTAGAAGGGTGACACCGGACGGTAGCACCTCACCAGCATTGTCATATGTGCGCCCAGCGGGCTGGCGAACGTCGTGAGCGCTTATACTTCCGAAAATTATATCCACGGGCTTCGGCAGCTTCAGTTGAGTCCAGATTATCTCCACAGCCCCCAACACCCAGCACCTACACACACAGGTTAGTATTTGTCGACGTCATTTGTGAATCAAACAATCTGAGACTCACCTGAAGCGCTTTTCGCCTGAGTCACCTGTAGCTGACGGCATCCCCCGCAATCTCGCGCAATATAGCCGCCTGCGGGTCCTGTATCCTCACCTCTGCAGTCTTGGTTTCCCTGATCCACGTCGTCTGTCACCTGACTGCCTCCGGCGGCGCTCCCATGCGTATCGCCACCAACTTATCGTCATCAGTCTCACGAAAGGCATGCAAATATCCCCAAAACAGACAAACCTGGCATGCGGCGATCGCCGCCGAGAAGTAGAGAATTTGACGGAGTAGCAGAAGGTCGGCATGCTGGTTTTACGACTTGCTGCAAAATGAAAAGTTGTTGGTTGGTGTTTAATCTAAGCCCCCGGAGAAGACGCTTGATGGCATGCGCGAGAAAACATGGCGGAAAGCCACTAATCGCCTTTCCGTAGGTCGCTTGAGGCTAGCCAGCCGAAGCCGCAGTTGACGGGCCGGCCGCTTGGTCTGCATTCGGCGGGCCACGTAGGCCCATGTGATTCGTAAGCCCTCCCTTTCGAATTGGAAGGCGATCTGCACCAGCAGCTTATCTTCAGTGTATGTGGAGGTAGTGCGCATTAGTCTTGAGTACACTATAGAAAAATGGGAGGTCGGATAGGTGCATTCGTCTTGCCTTTTGTATGTTCTGGTGACTGGCTGTCAGGCGATTGACCGCTAGATCCATGGTACGACCGCGTAGAAAGGGCCGATTACTCGTTGGAGCAATAAAATACTGTGCGATGACCAGACGATCCAAAATTACCCCCAACCTCTTTCTATTCACAGCTGCGATTGGTAGTTATAAAACACGGTTGGCAGAGCTGGAGGAAAAGCTAAAAGGGCGCAAAATTCGCCCTTTTACAAGCCCTTTTTCCACCTTGTTTTGGTAATGGTGTTAAAAGGCGAAAAATGCGCCCTCGCACCGCGAAAGGGATAATACCAGTACGGTGTACTTCGAAGTAGAATACTACTCGAACGTGTAGCAGCGTCGCAACGAAATGTTATTGAAGTGGCCACTTTACATGAAGTTGCTGTCATAAATTAAGCAATGATAGCCTTCGTGATATGTTATTGTTTTCTTTCTACTTCCAAATAACAGAAATGCAACGCAGATCTAATGGAAGTCGGGCACGCATCACTTTTAGAACAAATCCGATGTTCCTGCCAACTTTACAATAAGCTACATACGCCCGACTCCTCATTGTGTCAACTAGGATAGTACTTGAAAGGAGTCAGATAAAGATTCAAAGAGCGCAAGGGAGGGATACAGTCACATCCTTTACTCCTTGCATGTGGCCCGTTGAATACAAGCGTTTCCGGTACGAGTCAAGGCGGACGGCTTTACAACACTTCTATAAAACACACTACAGGGATCATCAAACCGAAATTATTATAATGTTTAAGACCTTCGTACCGTATCACGATCTTTGGCAATGGCAATTCTTGTGATATGCTACAAAGGCGTATACCAAGCTATTAGTCCAGGGAGCCCGAAAAAATAATATGCGTAAAATTAATCCCAATTTTTTAATTTAATTATTAATTTATGGCTGCCAGCAACGGGAACAACCCCAATTTTGAGTAAGGTCTAGTCAAGTTACAGCGTGGGGACGCGCTGAACGTCGCGGAAAAATTAGCCTGCGCTGAATTTAGGTCGCCTGATCTCGAACGGTCGTCTTCAAGAGCCGCCGAAGAGCGTTCTATTGTGAGAGCGGCGTTGTGACGGGGTCACACAGCACCTTGCGCTAGAGGAAGTTATCTTCCGAGAGTATACAAACTCTCAGTGAACGGCAGTTCACAGGTCCCCTCTTTAATTAAAGAGAGCGAAGTGACCTAAATAAGGTAGATTGTAAACTGAGTATATTTATAGGTAGGTTAAGTTTGAGGTTAATACAAACTATCAGTTACCTATAGAAATGCAATGTCATTTAACCAATGGTTGGTTTTGAATGACCTTGGTACCTTGTACCAAATATCCCGGAGTATGACATGGCATACTCCTGAAGTGTGAAGTGTCACACTTCATGTAACCAGGGTACACTTAGTGCTACGTACCCCGTTACATCCTCCCCCACTTAGGTTCGGTTTACCGACCAATCAGAATGAAGAGATGTTCGTCACAAACTCTCATTCTCAAAGTCGAAAACCATCGACTCGGCCGCGCGAGCGCGGCGGAGGCTCACTTTACAGTTAGAGCCTCGAGCAGCAACCTGTGCGCTCTTCGTCAAGGTCTCCACTTCGACCGTTAACATGCCTAGTGGCACTGCTAAGAGCGGTGCTAAGACACGCTCCAAGGCTGCAGCCGGTAAGGTGCAGGCCAAGAGCACTAAGCCTCACGGCAAAGGCTCTGCACTTAAGGAGGCTACTCAGGTGGCCTCCGAGGCGATCGGATCCTCGGGTGACGCGGCTGCGGACAAGCGCGCAAGCAGGCGCCGCAGTCCGTCGCTCTCGTCTTCAGACAATCGTCCGAACCCTCGGTTCGTAGAACGTGAGTTCAACTCGGGCAGTGAGGACGATGCCGAGTCCGAGAGCACTCATGATGCTCCTGCGGGCTCTGTGGAGGGCACAGCCCAGTGCCCAGTGAGCACAAAGAAGACAGCGTGCAGTCGTCCGCTAGTGAT